CTGGTATATGAGTCACACTTTCTTGAATCTTTGCATGTATCATATTAATAATTTTTTGTTGAAAACTGGACATTTTAGCTACTATATTTTGGCAACTCTGGGTACTGATACTGATCATTCCTCTCTTTAGGACATGTTTTTGTTGTTGCTTGCTTGCTTGTTTGTTTAGTGACTGGAGTGGCTTATTTTAATGAAATCTATTTCCCCCTCAGTGTGAAGCCTCTCCTGTTCTCTCTTCCCAGGATACAGCCTTGGGCATGACCAGAGTCATCCAGGGACAACAGTGGTTTCTGCAGCTTTCTGTTTGTTGCTGTCCTTGATCTCTTTATTAAACTCTCTGCCTCATTTAGTATCACACCCAACTATTAGTTTCCACTAATTGCTGGAAGATTATTCCCTTGTTTTTGACAATGCCCTCAGGCATAAATTGCTGCACAGACTGATTCATTTAAATTTGGACTCATTGCAGGACGAGTTTTTCACCAATCTTTGAGATTTGTTATGATGCTAAGAGGGTTCTTCTTAGCTGTCTCTTTCCCTGGTTACTCCTTATGGTTTAGCTCAGCAGTCCCCAACCTTTTTGGTACCAGGGACCATTTTCACAGAAGACAATTTTTTCACAAACCAGGGAGAGAGGGTGATGATTTCAGGATGATTCAGGTGCATTACATTTATTGTGCATTTTATTTCTCTCATCATTATTACATTGTAATATATAATGAAATAATTATACAATTCACCATAGATTGGGGACCCCTGGAGCTCATTGCTGTTATAGAGCTACCATCTTCTTAATTTCTTACCACCAAAATCTCCATTGTTTTTGAAATCACATTTAAGTTTGAACTTTCTGCACTCTGTTTCAAATAATGTTAGTTCTTTTGCAGAGAGCTTCAGAGTTTTCTGTTCTTGTGGACTGCCTCTACCCTGAGCAAAATCTTTGACCCACTGTTATTGGCGCTGGGTGGGGGAGATAGACCTTGGTATTCTCAGCTTACTCTGTGAACAAGCTGGAGTGGGGGTGATCAGGTCCCCAATATTCTTGGCCCGCGGTGCCTCAGGTAAAGACTCTGTCCTATGAGTGCAGCTAGTTGGAGGAAGGGAACTCTTGCCCTTTTGGCTACACTCACTGGGAATTTATCCTCTGCAATTCAGAGCTAGAACGGCTGAGACATGCTGGCAGCCTACCCTACCCCATGAGATACTATATTCCTTGACTGGGAGCCGAGGGAAGAGGAGGAGCACTGTCTTGTTGGCCACACCTGCCCAGAATGGAGCTTCAGTCTCATTGAGCTGGGGATGGAGGAAAGAGGAAGCCAGTTGTACCTCAAGTACCAAAGACTCTTGCTGTTCTTACTGAAAATTAGTAGATTGCTTGAGCAAATGTCTCGTCATTCTGAATGTTCTGAGGATAGTTTCCAAAGACTTTAAACATTTGGGGGGACTGTAATTTTAAATAATAATTTTCATCTGTTACAGTTGTTTCTCTGGGTATTGGGACTGTGGGGGTTTCTTATGCCACTGTTCCAGAAAAGGGACTCCTAAGCGTATGATATTGGTTTCTTTATATATAACCTCCTGGATTTAAAGCGATACAAACTGGCAGATCCTGATGTACATTTTCTCTTTAAATAAAGGAAAGGGAGATGTTCCAGGAGACAACTGGGTATCTGCTCCCTATGTGAGTTGAGGGAATGAGTTGCAGAACCTGCTGAAATAGGAGATCGTAGGGCTCTGTATTGATTTGAGTAGCCCAGCAGAGGAGAAATTCAATTAAAAAAATTGATTTTCAAAATAATCCATCTTCTGTGCAATATTGTCGTCAGTCCTCCTTTTCAAAACAGACCAAGTTTTTAAGATTTCTAAATTTATTACTAATGAGGTTAATATTAACCATATTCCATTTTATTTACATTACAGGAACTATGACATTTTAGCAGGACTACCTAAGGCCAATTTAACTTAAGGGGAAAATATTATTTTGAGATCATATTCAATTTGATTTAATTCATTATTTAATTCTCTCAACAACCCATCAGGTTTTTTTATACATAATTTACAGATGAGGAAACTGAAGTCTAAAGACGTTAAATAACTTAAATATTTGAGTTCACCCAACTTCCAAAGGATGGATCCAAGCTTTGAATCCAGATAGTCTTACTTCCTTTATATACAACTTTCATTAGTAGGTTTTCTATTACATACTGAGCAATTTATATATATATATATATGTATGTATCTGTGTGTATATATAATATTTGGTTATATAAAAAGGACACTTGGAATGAATCTCTTCTTACTCTAACTAAAAGCCTTCTTAGCTGGTGCTCTCTTGGGCATAAGGGAAAATGGCAGTCATTTTGACAGTCAGCTCTCCCTATCCTGTGTCAGGAGTTGCATGGATAATCCAAAACCCTGAATTTCCCATAAAATTTTATTTTTGGTTGTGGAATGCAGTTAGTGATATATGCTCAGTCAGACATAAACATAATCTTGTGTTCTTTCCTAAAACTTCACATACTCATAACCTGGCTGGGAGTAAGATAGAGAAGTCAGTGGTGAAACTAGGAGATTAGTCAAATGAATGAAGTTTCCTCTTTCCAGATTAAATTAAATTAGTGAACTAGTCCAAGTTAGTTTTGATAGTTTCTGGGATTATTTTGCTCAGGTCGATGATATCAGAGACTTTTCCTTTTAATTTGAAAACAGCAGTGATTTTACCGTATCTGCTTGTCTCACTTTTTTTTCTCAGCACAGTGCCTGGCACTAGGGAGGGACTCAGGGAAGTTTTGGAGGGAGGGATGGATGGATGGAAGGAAGGAGGGAGGGAGAGAGGAAAGGAGGGAGGAAGGAAAAAGCACGTATTGGCCAGTGATCTGTCTGGGGAGCTCAAAAAAACCCTTGACTCGTAATCAGGAGAGCTGAATTGAAATAGCACCTCTGTCCCTAATTTGCTGTGACCTCAAGTACATCATTTTTATTTAGGAGCTTCTGGGTTTTTTGTTTTGTTTTGGTTTTTGTCTGTACAATAGGAATAACTGACTTGGAAGATTAAATACAATAATATGTATGAAAATGCCTAGCAATGGGTTCTCAACAATAGTTTGGTGAGTCTGAATATAATTGCAACCAGTCTACTCTTGACCATCTGTTCTAAATTAAGCATAGCATCATTGAAAATACCAAACAACCAGTAATCTTTCTAGGGTAATTGTACTTTATTTAGGAAATCAAGGGTTTTTTCCCTTAAATAGATTATGTTTTGCTTGTAATTATGTTTCACTTGGGCTAATGTTAACTTTTTATGTCTTTTTATGCTGTACCCAAAATGCTAATTGGGAGTGGCCAACACCAGGACAATTAGCCTATAATGGCATATTTTACATGTTTTATGCCACAAATTTGATAGAACATTTCATGATTTTGAAACATTTAACTTATGATATTTTTTGTTGCTCTTTATTTGCAGAGTATCACTACACAGTCAACAAAATCTCATGACTGTCTCAAATCTTGGTGTCATATTTGGCCCAACTTTAATGAGAGCACAGGAAGAAACTGTGGCTGCCATGATGAATATTAAATTTCAGAATATTGTGGTAGAAATTCTGATAGAGCACTATGAAAAGGTAGGCTGAATTTTCACATGGAAGCATCAAGTTTTGTATCTTGCATTTAAGAAGGCGTTTTGCATTTATATAACATCATCTGTGAGCTTTACACTGTGATCTTATATTCCTTCATTCCTATAAAATGTTAATCTGTTTTTACATAAATTACTTCTTCATGGAGACTTCAATTTTCTTTTTTGTTCAGTTTTAACGGCCTTTCAAAATCCTTCAGATAGATGATTTCCTTTGCTTCCTCATCCTTTCCTTTTCAAGGCTTTCTTCTTTAACATTTGTGTGGTCACTTTATTACTCATATGCAGAGAACACTTTAAAATCACTCTGTGGTTAAGCCTGCTTTCACCCTCTCTTTTAATCCCTCTGGAACTAAATTTTTAATTATATAATAGAGGTAATATTCTAACTAAACAAAAGAAAAAAAATTAGGAAACAGAGTGTTGGAGTCCTCTCTATATCCAGTCGCTAAGGAGGGTTTCTTTAAAAGCGTGAGATCTTGAGATAACTATGAAAATGGGAAATTGTGAAAGCCAAATTAGTTGGATTATTAAGCAAATTCAGCCATTTAAGATCTAACCATTTGTGATCCATTTATCTCTGATTTGGTCCTTGTGAGAGAATGACTGTGTCACTCTGCTGCCCTGGGTCCCTTCTAGTGCCCACAGAAAGCATCTCCTTAGTGCCTATCTAAGGGTGCAAGCCCTCTCACAGCCCAAGAGCAGATGGCTGTATCCTGTAGCCGTGCCCATACCTACCTGCAGCTTGTTATATTCCTTGACAGCTCAGAGCCAACAGCATGACAGCACCTTCTCCTGAGAAGTAAGGAGCCACTCAGCTGGAGAAATGATACAGAATGAGCCTCTTGCCCTCAGGTTATGTTCCTCAGAGCATGAAGGTGGAAAGAGGATATTACAATAAAAAAGAATCAATGTATCTGGACGTGGGCATTTGTTCATATTTAGAAGGTTTCTTAAAATTATTGGAAGATCTTCTGAATTTTACTTTTAGGGAGTGGGGGAGAAAGTGAAAAAGAAAACTCAAAGAAGAAACGTTACTCAGTATAAACATAAAAGAAAGTTATTATTGCTCTAGGATTTTTTTTTGGTATCAAACCTATCTTGCTGTGCAGCTGGTTAAGTAGCATACAGTTCTAACTCAAAGCTTATTTTACAATGAAAATGGCAATGTCAACCATTTATTGACCTTGGACCATTTTTCTTCCTTATAGATTTTTCATACTGCCCCAGACCCGAACATTCCTCTTCCTCAGCCTCAGTCTCGATCTGGGTCCCGCAGGACACGAGCAATCTGCCTCTCTACCGGCTCTCGGAAGCCCAGAGGGAGGTATACTCCTTGCCTGGCAGAACCTGATAGTAAGTGTGCTCAGCCTTAGGGAGAGGCTTTCTTCATTCTTTAATTCAGCCTTACCTCACTTGGTTGGTAATTAGGTAGAAATAGAAGATGTTCTCACTGATGCTCTTTCTCCAACACCCACTCTTCTAACATTTATATATTCTCTGTTAATAGTTACAAGGTTCTTTGGGCAAGCAAATTCATTATTGATACAAAGGAAGAAAAAATAGTTTGCTCAATGCCCTTTTTTCTGCAGATTTGATTAAGTACATTGGGTGCTACTTTGTAGCAGGTTTTGTCCTGTTGTCAAAATGGTAAAGAAGAAAGCAAGAGAAAGTCTGACTGAAGCAGTCGTTTTCTTTCTCCCTTTCACATTATGTTCTTAAAGCATCATCTCTTGGGTATCAAAGTGTCTAAAAGAGAGAAAAGAAATAAAAAGAAAACTGACACCACACATTATTACTAACTTACATATTCTGAGCCAAGCCCCAAGATGATACAGGTGGCAGCTTGAGCCAGTGGCATGCAGTAAACTGTGACCATTCTCATTTTATTTTATACTCCTAGTCCTCACTTTTTTTTTCCCCACAGTCAATGTGAAATAGAAAATAGTCTACTATTTTTTAGGTATATTTGAATGCTTTTACAGTTTCTCTGATTTTTCTTATACCTTTCTTTTAGGAACATTAAAATAAACTCAGTGAAACGGCCAGTTTCTTACATTGCGATTCTCTTAGGAGGAAAAGGGAAAAAAAATCCTTTCTTTGAAAATTGGGAGCAGCTTATAATTTTTTGCTGACATTTAATGTTGCCTTTGAATGAAAAGAACTTGAGTACATTATAACTAAGAATCACCTATGATCAGAAAAGTAAAATAAGGCAGAAATATGTCTTTAATATGCCCCCTTCCATTGATTTCTTATAACATCATAAAGGAATCATCTTTTTTCTCTTACTTCCAAGTCCTGTTTAAGAAACAAATTTTGTCAGAAGTCAGCCCACTAATGCTTCAGGAAGCAAAGTTAGGGACATAGGGACAGTAGTTCATAGGTTGGTGTAAAATCTTCCTAGAATGGTATTGGAAAATACATTCCCCAAGTTCAAGTGCATATTCGAAAGCCTTTCTCCAGTACTGAGGGCAGTTCTCCATATGAGGTAAAGGCCTACCACCTGCATGGGTTCAGGTGGCCAGGGAGCACATGGCAGGTTGGAGAACAGAACTAAAGGGTTTTGGTGGTGCCGTGATCAACAGATAGCTACTGTTGCTTTCCTCTCTCTCGCTCCTGCTCCTCAGGTGACTCCTATAGCAGCAGCCCAGACAGCACACCCATGGGTAGCATTGAGTCACTCTCCTCTCACTCCTCTGAACAAAATAGCACTACAAAGTCAGCTTCCTGCCAGCCCAGGGAGAAATCTGGAGGGATTCCCTGGATTGCAACCCCATCATCTTCCAACGGACAGAAAAGCCTGGGTCTCTGGACAACTAGCCCTGAATCAAGTTCCAGAGAAGATGCAACCAAAACAGATGCAGAATCAGATTGCCAGAGTGTTGCCTCGGTCACTAGCCCAGGGAATGTCTCCCCACCCATAGACCTGGTCAAGAAAGGGCCTTATGGCCTTTCAGGACTGAAAAGAACCTCCGCTTCCTCTCTGAGATCCATCTCTGCAGCCGAAGGTAAGTCAAAGGGGAACTTGTGCAAGATACCATTGTCTCAGTGTCACTTGCTGGATTATTCAGCATGATTAAGGAGGGATAAAGTTAATGGTGAAGAAACTAATGATGTTTATCTGCTTTGTTCCTGAGTTTGGATTTTAAAACCTGTGCACTGATTTTTTTCCTGAACCTTTCCATGTCTGTGAAGTGATATCTTTGTAATTTCTGTAGATTTTGATCTCCCTGAGTGATGGGTTGCTGTGCTCAAAGAACATTCTGTACCTTCCCATTTGGGCTCAGAGAAAAATGCTTCCTTTTGTTATGCACATGTACTGTGTTATTGCTATTATTTTGTCTAATAGCACCTTGCCTGTTTTCTTGGGCTTTCTTTTTAGGAAACAAGAGCTACAGTGGATCTATTCAAAGTTTAACTTCTATAGGTTCCAAAGAGACTCCCAAAGCCTCACCAAACCCAGAACTGCCTCCTAAAATGTGCGCAAGGTTAAGGCTAGACACTGCCTCGAGCAATGGCTATCAGCGACCTGGCTCCGTGTAAGTGAGAGTTTGCATTTGCTGTGTCTCTCAGGGGTACAGAGGAGTTGAGCATGTTCAAAAAAACCCTGAGGAATCCCCCAGGTGAATGCCTGTGGGTACAATCAACTTCCACAGGACTCCATCCTTTCTAAAAGTGATGTGAAAGTTAGAGTAGTATTAGGGTATATAAGGAATCTCATGGCATGGCACTTCAAGCACTTTCCTCAGAAGTGGAGCTATGACTTAATTTAAGGAAATAAAAATAGATATACAATATAGTAGTTATAGGCTTTGGGAATAGAAGCCTTCCTGTAAAAGCTAAACATCTACCTCTCAGCTGAAGAGACTGCCATGCAGTGACCATAAGCCAGGCCCAGCTCCCAGGTCCTCTCTCTGTTTTAATATACCTGGTTTCTATAATAACTTCTGAGGGTTGGTTTTCTCTCCTATCTATCCTAATTTATCTCCCCTACCTGAGTCCTCACTGATTTAAACAAGCTCATAGTGAACAAGGAACATGAAAGGCAAAAGTGAGTAGTTCTGATCAAAAGAAATGACCCAAAAGTGTGAAGGCTGATAGGAGAAGGGCCCATAGACATGAGCAGGAGGTGAGATAGGCTAAAAAAACAAGTGGAAACCTGGTTAAATAAGTAAAATCCAGAGGTGAAAAGTTTCTCTCCTTTTCATGTTATTTGCCTGACATTTGGTGAGCAATTCTTAATGCTATCTAAGCTATTATTGGATGTCTTTACATAAGGTATTTAAGGGCCACAGTCTCCTTTTGAAATAAGTAGCATAAACCCCATTTTAGAGATGGCGAACATCTTAAGAAACTAGTCCACATTCACCGAGCTAGTGCATGGTAGAGCTAGGATTCCAAGTCATGATTCTCTAACTTCAATTCTCTTCTGTTTCTGTTATACCATTCCCATTTTTAATATGATGATATTCCTGATGTTTTAATTATTCATTCAAAGTACAGTAAGACATTTTACTAAGCCTGTTTCCATAGGAACAGTGTCGTAAATTCATTAGTTCATCACTTTCTTTGACAACCTTTTTGGTTGCAGAGTGTGTTCAAGTTATATTATCCCTCTGGGTTGGAAATCCAGTTGCAGTGGTATAGACAAAATATATTTGTAAATCTGTCTACTCTCCACTGTGTATGTTTCTAGCCATTAAGACAAATTAAATTTTAAGCCAATATGTCAAGAAAGATTAGAGAATATAAACTCCACTCTTTGTGGAGGACAGAGAAGAGCTGCTGTTTTGTGATCATACTGGTAGTTAAAGTAGAAATTAAAATGAGGCAGTGTATGTTCTATATTGGGTGATCTTTGAGATTATCAAGTGGCTTGGTTCTGGAAAAGTGTTTATCAGCTAAAGGAATAAGATTTTTTATAGTCTGGTTTACAACATCATTCAAGGAATTTGATATTCTCTTCTAATTACCTAGGGTGCCTTAATTTCAGTTCTTTTCAGTATATACCTGATAGTCTCACCTGTTCAATTAGAACATGTCCTCCTCCCTTCCCCTGCCATGATTTGAAATAGGATTTCAACCCACAAATTGGTTTATTGGCTGTATTTTTGGAGTTTGTCCTTTTCACTTTTCAGGAAATATGTTCAAATATTTAAAAATGAAATAACCTTATAATTAGTGTTTTCTTAGCTGTCAGAATGAACAACAGTTCTTTTGTCATGTTGATTTGGTTCTTTGATTCTTCCCTTGTGACGCCACAGGAGTCGATAACATGCTGCTGGGAGTAGAGTGGAGAGAAAATGTTCCTTTTACTGCTCTCGCAGTTTTCTGAGATAAAAAGGATGAAGACAGTAAGATCTCCAGAGGAGGTAGCTATAGGTTTATTATAGTCTGACACTCTGTAAGCTAGAGACTAGACCTAAAAATTTCATCAGCATTAAAACTTAAAACAGTTAAAATTCAGGTCCAATTTCGGTGATGGGTTCTTAACCATTTTTGTTTTGTTTCACTAATAACTTTGGTTTCACTTGGAGCAGACTGAATTTATGAAACGTGTGTTTGAAAATCATTTTTCAGAGTGGCAGCAAAAGCCCAACTGTTTGAAAATGTTGGTTCCCCGAAACCGGTTTCTTCTGGGCGGTAAGTTCTCAAAACCCTTAAACCCATGAAAAAAATAAAATAGTGGTGACATTGTTGCTTTGTTTTGACATGACAGATTATCTGTGACAGCTCTGCCCCTCAGTTATGCAGATGATCAAATCCACATCCACTGGCCCTTCGAATGAAGTCATGTCTGTATACAGCATTCAGCATCTCAGATTGTGAAAGTTATGCCTCATTACATAAAATCTTCACAGAAGAAGCGTTCTAAACAAGCAGATTTCCTAAAAGACGGAAGTCGCCGTAATCCTTTATACACCACTGATGACAATCATTTCAAAGGCATATCCTTGGCTTTTGAAAATTATGTAACTTTTTCTGGAAGAATCTTCATGGTCATTCATTGAAAAATATGGTTATTTTTAAGGATGACTGAGGTGTTGTACAGCTAATTGCCCCAGAAGCCTCTGTTTTGAGTACAGAACTTCATTCAGGGTTTTCAGACTTTATATTCCACTTCATTGCTAAAAGAATGAGTTGTGACATCTTGCTGTCATTAATTAATATGCTCGCTTCTGAAGTGCCTCCTTTCCTCTTCTTGCTTTCCAGATTTATTTTTCTAATCTACAGGGGACTTTGGTTTTTAACTTAAATAATTGAATTTCTTAAAGGCAGGGGCTTTCCAATATTATTATTATTATTGCCATCAGCAGCTGGTACAGGTAGGAGACACTGAATAAATGCTTGTTGTTGACAGAGCACATAAATGAAACAATTGAAGAACAAACCTTGATTTTTCCTTTGGATGTACTGAGGCATTTTTGTGCTTCCCTTGTCTGGCTAATCAAGGCTGTGAGGTAAAAGAATCACAGATGATCAAGGCATTGCTGTATAGTTCTTATAAAACGTTACTCAACCAAACAATTTTTATCACCTTATCAAAGTATGTGGACTTTTTCAGTATGCATTTATTAAGTAACTACATAATACTGGGCATGTGATAGTTATTAGGGATAACAATGACCTTCAAACTTTTTGGTTTTGTTCAAAGCCTAGTGAGGGCACTCCTGTATTAATTAGTTTTTTGTAACTGCATAGAGTAGAGCCACTTTGGTGTCTTACTGGAACGATGGTCAGTGCCTTCCATTTATACAGCAGATCCCAGAACACTTGCACCTTACAGCTGTCTGCACCATCTTCATCTTCTTCCTTTTTATCAAGGCATGATGAGCACTAAGCCCTGTGTATGTCAGAGCAAACATCATTCTCTGTGATGTTATCATTTCTAGGCCTTAGCATAAGGGATTTAACCTTGCTACCTCTGTCCTTCGTGCTATGTGGTTGAATTGCTCCACTAGATGGAGGCCTCTTATTAGGAAGCTCTGAAAAGAATCTGCCTCTTAAGTAAAAACTCAAGTACTGTAATCAGAGAGCTAATCCCACAGAGCTTTAAGCAAACAAGCTATTAATGAAGTAAATCAGAAAACACTTACATAATACGGGTATACTCAGATGTTCAAAAATCAACACATGCATCTTTAATATGTTTTACATTCTAAATACTCTAAATCAACTTCTAATGGGCTTCAGCATAAACTTAGAACTCACTCAGCTGTACATCCAGGGTTGCAATCTTTCTCTGTCACCCAGTCCATAGCACTTATGACCTGTGTCATAACTTTGCTGAGGCAGGCTCGGTGGAACACGAATGAACTTCAGAATCAGACAGACCTTCATACCAAATTTTGGTCCACCGCTGTCTAGTTGTGTAACCTTGGAGTTACTCTTTTTGGAAGTCCATTTTCTTTATCTATAAAATGAAGATCATAATTCTGAGCTTGCCACAGTGTTGTGAAGGAATGCAATAATGTGTTTGAACAGGACAGGTCATCTGTAGATGGTTTCCACATTAATGGCTGTTAGTATTATAATTATTGTTGAAACTGCTTGCCTAAGACATTCAAGCCTCTAATTTATGGATTGATGGTATTTGAATGCTAACTTAATATTCTCCTGTGCTGTCAAATAAAACTGAACAACTGATAGAAATTGAGGACATTTCCCTGACTTCCTACAGTGCCTATCTCATTTTCCTTCTAGGGAATTCAGGCTTACCCTTAAATTGGACCTTGAAAGAAAACAGAACCAATAGAGGCAGTAGGAAGACTAGGCTTATTTGGGAAAGAGACCATTTGGGAGATTTTAGTGGATGGCCTTGAGCAACAGAAAAGTAACACCTTGGAGCCACTGCAGGCTCTAAATGTCATTGAACACACTGGTGATCTAATCAACAACGCACCTGAACAGATAGTTCAAGTGGCTTTTCCAGGAGTTTGTGAAAGGGAGAGAACAGTCAACCATTTAGAATGACACTGGTGAGATTTAGAAGATTAGGAGAGTAGCAAAAGCATGAAACTCTATAAGGAGAATGTATGGACTGGATCAGGATTGGGCAACTGTTTTGATACTGGGAGTAAGGGATGGATAAAGAAGGTTCCAAGTCTCTCAGACTAAGTGTCAGAAAGAATGGTAATTTAGTTTGTAATCTCAGCATGTGCATATGTAGGGGGAAGGGAAAGTTTTAGGTATAGATTTTGAGGAGCCTCAGGAAGGCTAATAAAAGGCAGTCAGAAATGTGCAGCTGGAACCAGGAGAGAGCATGGCGTTTGATGCCTTTTGAGAAACTGCTACACCGCAGTAACATTGCATAGATGAAGGTGAGGGTGCCCAGCAGTGGGGCTTATTGAGTGAAATGCTGAGCACTGGTCTTTGGGGAACGGTTTTATTTAAGAGTCAGGCGAAGAAGAATGTGAAGAAGTGGTCAGGAGGAGAAGGCATGGCCAGCAGTAGTAGAAGCTGTAAAAAAAAAGTCAAGGAGATCAAGTCTCTGTCTCAGTGTTATAAAGGTGTGTGGAAATAGTACCCTTAAAGCCGTCCCCTTGGTCTCAAGCAGTTATACTCAGCGAGGAGGAGATCCACTTTAATGCAGTGTAATTCACCAAGCTATACAAATACCTTCCGAAGGTCGAGTTGAAAATTAAGAGAATTAGTTGAGAATTGAGTACTGGGCTCATTATAAACAATCAAATGTTTCTATTTCAAAATTTAAAAGATTAATATTTTGTTTATAGTTACAAAGGATAAAAACAAAGCCAACGAAGTTTTCTTGTCCGGTGAGTTTGAGTAAGATACACATAAATGCAGAAAGCACCATAACACATGTAAGAAAGAAAAAAACCATGATTTTTTAAAATAATAATTTAATTTTTTCTTCTAGAAAATGTGGCAAATACTAATAAACTAAAGAGGTAAATGAAAACCACTTCTAATTTCATCACGTGAAGATAAACTATTATTGAATTTTGGTGCACAGCCTTCTAGTACCATATACAACAAGAGTGTTTCATTTTGATCTCATTTTGAACTCTTTTATAAACTTAAAAAATCATTAAGGATCCCCAAAGAGCTTTTGTTTATATGGATTACATCTATTGCTATTTACTGTATTAAAATTGAAACTGAGAAATTTTAAAAATATTTATTAATTTGTTTAAAATAAGAATAAGCCTATTACATAATAGCACAGATAATCTAATTTTTATGAAAAATAGTATTTTCCAAAACAGAGAGTTGAATTGTTTTACATTTTTGTAGATCTCTTTAATACCTGGCATAATACAAAATAAATAGATTCTCATACACATTTTATTAGCTGTCAGAGCAATGATGTCTTAGGGTCCTGCCTTCACCCCTACCTTCCCACTCCCCTCCCCAGGGTCCCCTGACTGCATTTTGAGAACTACTCCTCTGTGATAAACACACAGAAAAGGATACATAGAGGTGTTTTTCACTGTATTGTTCCATAGTGCCCAACACAGGGTAGATGCTCAATAAAATTACACATTTTTAACCTAAAAATACTGTGTTATTCATTTCTTCACTTCATCTTTAATGGAGTTGCAATATGCATGCCTTTGACAAAAGCAACTGTAACTCTACAAGCTCAAGTCGAAGTTCTTTAGCATTAAGGCATTCAACATCACTTAGATATCCAAGCTGGAAACAGCCAGTTTTTGTTGGAAAAACCTATGAAAAGAATATGTAACTGATTTTAAGAAATCTCCAACCAGTAACCAAAAAGCAAATGCAGTGTTTATTGGTAAATCGTCATGGGCAATTTAAGATTCTTGCCAATGACAAATTTATAAACTTTTTGCCTTAAACACTATTGTTGTTTCATGGCATGTGTTCTTCAATAGCATCATTTGTAGTTGCTGCCTAATACTTAATTGGATTGGTGTGCTCTGATTTATTAAGTCCTCTGCTAGTGAACATTTAGATTGTTGTGACTTTGTTTGCTTTTAGTTTTTATATATAGTACTGCTTTCACATCTTTCTATTACCTGTGTGTACTCTCTTTCCCTTCAGATGTAAAACTGTCAATAGTATACAAAATGTGTGTGTGTGCGCGCGCATGTGTTTCTCATTGTAAAGCAGCCCTGCAGAAAACGTTATATCAATTTTAGTGAATTTTTTATTCCTCTTATGTTTGAGATAAACATTGGCAAATTTTGTGCACTGACCTTATCAAACCTTTGTAAGTTTACTCATCAGCATTAGATGCATTTAGAATTAGGAATGAGGCGTGTGAGCAGACCATTTTCCTAATGATACGGGAAGAAATGGCTTTCAGGACTGTGGGTGTCATTACCTCACTCCCATGCAGTAAGAAGCAAGATTTTCAAAATCATTTTCAAAGGGAGATTAGAGTGACACAATAGGTGACAGTGTTATTTTCACATCCTTTTCAATACACCAAGGCAGTAAAAGAGAAAGCATTAGCACCTGAAGGAAACTTCACTGTCACAAAAGTCTACATTAAATCATCAAAGCTCTTTGCAGAGCAGAGTTAATACCTGTAGTTGCAGATCTCAGCAGAAGAAAATTCTGTCTGTCTAGTCATATGCACAGATAATTGAAAAGTCATGACAGGTAGCATTTTGTGCTGTGTATTTTTGGCACATTTAACAATATCTGTTTATTTATTTAGTGATATAATTATTCTGTGTGCTTCTCCCTTCCTCCGTCCAGTCCTATAAACTACTAGAAACAAAAATGAGAACATCCGTGTCTAAAATATTAATAAAAAGATTTTGGGTGCATTTTAAAGCGTAGCTTCAAAAATGACATCATTGCAAAGAAACCTATATCATAATCATTTGTACAACTTTGGAAATTGTTTCCTTTATGGATCGCTTAATAATTTATCTTAATGACTCAAATAAAACAATGTTTATTGGAAGAAATTGTTGCTGTGAGAAAATTTGATTTTTTGAAAAATCTTTACACATTTTTAGGGAAATGGCTATGCAATCGTCAATTATATCTCGATCAGATCAAATGGTTATACTTGACTAGAAGATATATAGGGAAAAACTAATATTCTGTTTAAGACTACCATAGTCTGATTCTTAGAAGTCTTCAGAATTTGGTAACATCCTCACTTCCCACCTATATGCATCCAACACACCCGTGTGTGTGTCCACGTGCACATACATAGTTCTTTTTGGATGTGAAGCCCCGTCCTTCTCAGACTGCCTTTCCTTCCTCAATTCTTCCTTAGACCGTGTTTCACTGGGAAGTTGTGTTGTATGGGTTGATGGTCATTCAAGCCGACTCCCCCAGCAAGCTTTCTGAAAGTACAGCCTGAGACTCACCTCAAATGAAACAGACTCTGGGGGCAGGCCCAGAATTTTCCTCAATAAGCTTCCCAGTCTTCAGATAGTCTTTTGAAACCCCACTTTAGATGACCAAGCCCCATTCTGGAAGTGCAGAGAATAAGACCCAGGGTCTTACAGCTCCAAAAGGAAAAAGAAATCATAATATAGCTCTGCTGCTTTGGGAGAGCTGAGGACGGCAGGCACTGCTGATGCTTCTTTGTAGGTATAGTGCTGGGGCCTCAGGAAGGACAGACAAGGCGCTTGAATCTTTAAAAGGACTCGTCATATAGAAGAAGAGCCCAGATCGTCTTTCCTTTTTTTCACTAATTCATTTAGCAAATATTTACTCAGTCACTACTAAGCGTGAGGCATTGTTCATGGAGATTACATTCTAGTTAGGGGAGAAGATACAAAAAATATCAGTAATAACAACAGAATACTAGAAATTATTATAATACCATGTAGACTTGAAGCAGGAGGATATGGTAGATGCCTGGGTGGCTATTAGAGTGTGTGGTCAGGGGAGGACTGACCTTCAGCAAAGCTCATGAAATTTAAGATGAACCGGAAGTATGTAAGCTATGTGAAGATCAAGAGAAAAAATATCTTCCCATGGGAGTGGGCACAGCTAGCCCTGAGGTGGGAATGAGTTTGGCATGTTTGAGGGAGGGCAGGAGGTGAGCAGAGGCAGGTGCACAAAGAGGCAGGAGTGCACAGTTTGTAGGCCATAGCAGGAAGCCAGTTGAAGGGTTGTGATCAGGGAAGTAACAAGGACCCATGGACGTTTTAAAACTTCCCTTTGGATGCTCTGTAGGAAATGGATTGCAAGGGAACAAAAGAGGAAGCCCAGAGTGTTTAGGAAGCTAGGAAGCCATTCAGCCAACCAGGCCAGAAAGGATATTCACTTGGACTCTAGTTGTGGAAGTGATGGTAAGTGGGTGGGGTCGGGATAAGTTACAAGTCTTGCCGAGGTCGTTGAAGGTTGCAGAATAAAGGAGACTTGCCTATTACTTTGATTAACAGCCTCAGATGATGGCTAAAATGTGTTATTCAGATCTCATATAAAACCCCGAAATTCTGGCCACTCTTAAAAAAAATAGAGTGGCTGGCTACATTGAGCATGAATTCACATATGGTAACAGAAGTTGGGAGCTGAGTCTTGGCTTCCTTTTTTAGGAGATGAACATACTATGGTTTACAAAGCCTCTGTCTCTCTGTGTCAGCTTCCTGACAGTGAGGCTATAATTGGTCGCCATTTATCATCAACTTATCCTATTGTTTTCCTGACATCATGCCCATTCATCTCATTTACATATCCTGTAATCTTTTTTAATTTTTGGATCTCTCTTCATGTAGTCTGAAAATGAAAATGGCAGAAAACCAAAAAGCTTTAAAGTACCTAGAAACCTCGGTTCCTATGTAGCTGTAAAAAGAGCCTATTTAGCAGCTTACTAACAATCAAATAATTACAGCCTTTAAAACCAACCTGTGCTGTTTGTTACAAGCCAGGTGGGTACCCTTATGGGGCATTGTCTGGAAAAACGAAGGGCTTTTAGTATGCTAGTAATGTTCAGTTTCTTAATCTTGTTCCACAATTGTGTGTAGTTTGTACAAAATGTACTAATGTATACTTTTTCCTCTATATGTATTCCAATCACAACTAAAAATTAATAGCATTCTTTAAGAATAGTCTTAAGTATAGACATACCCAAGTAAGTGTTGTGGTTTTTACAAATTGTCTTGATCTTTCAGCCAAGCCAAAGCCATGTATTCCTGTAAAGCAGAGCACAGCCATGAACTCTCCTTCCCACAAGGGGCGATATTTTCTAATGGTAAGTACATCCATGCCCTTCGCTTAAGGTTACCATCATGGGGAGGACGGAGGAATAGTATGGTGGTGAGAATCTAAAGTAGGAGCCAGGAGCCTCCTAGTCTACTCCAGGCCCTGCCTCTCATGGCCTGCATAAGTGAACACATCAAATCCCTCTGGGCCGTGCATTCCTATAGGCCCAGCTACTCAAGAGGCTGAGGTGGGAGGATCACTTGAGCCAAGGAGTTCAAGGCTGCAGTGTGCAATGATCATGCCTGTGACTAGCCACCGTACTGCAGCCTGAGCAACATAGTGAGACCCTGTCTCTAAAAAAATAAATATATAAAAATTTGAAAAATCCTTCTGGACCCCAGTTTCCTTCCCTGCAAGTGTTTGTGTATACATACCTGTGTGTGTGTGTGTGTGTGTGTGTGTGTGTGTGTGTGCGCGCGCGCATGCGCGCTCATATGTATGTATGAGAGAGTGTTTTATTCATTATGTGAATGCAAAGGGCATTCCAACTTTAAAGGGCTGTGATGTTGTTTTGTTTTGATAATTTGTACAGTTGGCCCTCTATATCCAGCAGTTCCATATCACAGATTCAACCAACCACAGCTCATAAAGATCAGAAAATAAATAATGACAATACAACAATAAAATAATGCAAATTTAAAAAACAATATAGTGTAACAACTATTTACTTAGAATTTACATGGTATTAGATATTATAAGTAATCTAGAGATGAAGTAAAGTATACAGAAGGATATGCCTAAGTTATATGCAAATACTAGGCCATTCAATAAGAAAGACTTGAGCATCTGCAAGGTTTGGTATACACAGGGGGTCCTGGAACCAATCCTCAGATACTGAGGAACGACTGTATACATACAATCTGATGTGGATTTTTACACATTTGTTTATGTAATTATTTGATACCGATGTTGATTATGATCGATTGATTTTTCTATTTATTTATTTATTTTGCCAGTGTACCCATCAGTGGAACCGGGATGGTTGAAGGCAACTTATGAAGGCAAAACAGGACTAGTTCCAGAAAATTATGTTGTCTTCCTCTAATACGATTTAGTGGATGGCAGTATCTTCATGGTATCCATGGTAACGAATAATAAGTGCTATGATTTATCTGACACAGATATAGGGATCAGAGCCCTCTAAATGAAAACAATCAATTTCTATCAAGTCCTTCACCAACATACAATGTAGCTCCCTATTAATGGAAAAAACATGTTTAAATTGTTGGCCATTCTTTTTTGGGCTAATTACTTATTTTTAAATATCTTGCTTTTTTTTTGTTTGTTTTTTGCTTTTGGACAAGTAACTCTCCACAATGTCTCTTCCATAACAATTGTAAGGTCTCAAATTCTGTGTTAAATACTATATCCCAGAAATTTGGAAACCAGAAATGTGCTATATGGATTTTGAGCTCTATCCTTTACTGCCTGGCATTCTCTGAGGAACTCTGAAATCGTTACTTAAAAAATGTAATTTAAATTGTTCATTTAGTATTTTTTTCTTAAAAATATACTGCTTTTATATATGATTGTTTTGCTGGTCCTAAACATTTCAAGAATATAAATCTTTGTTTTAAGATAACTTTATTTTTATTTGTTTTCCAGGTAGATAATAATATTCAAAAGCAATAATGTATATGATGTCTGTAAAGGAAGGCAAATTAAGTCATACACTGATTCCCCTGTAAACAATCCATCCAGCATACCAGACACCTTCAGCAGGTTTAATAGAGAGATCAGCAAACCATTTCTGTAAAGACCTGAGATGATAATAAATATTTTTGTGACAGGCTAGGTTTGGCTTGTGGGTCATAGTTTGCTGACTCCTAGTTTAGAGGATATGTAAAACTATCTTCATAACTTTGGGATTTTCATAAAATTTTACTGCGTTAAAATATAAAAACTGATAAAGTATATGTACATATCCTCTACTAGTAGCATTATAGTGGTATCACAGAAAAATAATTATAATAATGGGAAAACTACAACTACAGTATAAAGACAACTGAAAATTCTACTTGTAATATTGCGAAGTGTCAAAGTATTTTAATGATATCCAACTTTGGCTTTTGAGATGTTCTACAAATGAAAAAGATGTTGTTTGAAGACACTCTTAGGGAGGCTGTGCCTTCCAAAGTCTATGCTTAGTTGAAACAGAAAATAAACACAAAGGTGTACAGGATTCTTAAATTATTTTGAACCACAAAGTTTGACATTGTTTCATCATCTTTAGCAAGAATAAAATCTGTATGCGATTTTCCTTGGTGCCATTCAGTTTTCAGCCTTTACTAGGAATTTCACTGAATTTACAGAGCATAGAAATAGGTATTTACTACCCATTTATATATATATATCAGTAGCATCTGGTCAGGCATCAACCATTACTTCTATAATTTTTATTTCAATAATTCTAATATATTATTTCTTTAAATATCTGTATGTGGCAAAGAGCCTTTCTCCTCAAGATCCTGAAAAGCTGGTTGCCTGCCACTTGCATGCTACAGCCCTGGCCTGCTTGGCCTGCTTGGCCTTGATATTTTACTTGTTACTTCGAAGTTCCCACTGTACGGACACTCAGGTATTGACTGCGTAAAACTCTTTTTACATGATATTATAATCTGTAATCTCAATCTCTTCTACTTTATATTAACGTTTCTAGAGTTAATAGGTTAAATACACACACACAACTATGTACTCAGAGCATTTATGCTTTTAAAAACAAAAGTAATGGATCAGAATTAACAAGGAAAGAGAATAACAGAAAGAGAGTCATAAACAGGAATAAACATCAGTGAATTGAAATAAAAGAATGAAAGATATTCTAATGTAAAGATTAGTAATGTAAACGTGTGATAAAAAATCTGTATTTCTTTTACCTCTTGCTGTTGATTATGTACACTATGATCAGATGTTGCTGTAGCTTCTTGGTCTAGGTCCTTGGTGGCCCTTTGTAGTAAAAACAGCATTGCTGACACCCTAATTACCCTCTGCTGGAACAGAAGGTAGTCCTTCCAATGTACCAGTCCCTCAGTCTGTACGACACCCTCCGTTTAAGCATCCTTGCCGTCGTCTGGCATCCTGCTAGATTAGAACCTCTTAAAGCAAATTGGTTTTCTTTCAAAGACCAACTTGACTCCAAAAAGAGATTCAGAATCCTACTTCTCTTGCTGCTGCATAACGAAATCTCAACCTTCATTTTATTTCAACACAGACCCAAGTGTTCCTTCTTCTGAGTTGTTAGCGAGATAATTCCACAGATGCTCCATTTGGAATTAAAGCTTTTGCTGTATAGGACATGGGTATGAAGCCTTGCTCTACTTTCTGATGGCAGGGCATATGTTGTGGCCCCAGTACTTGCTGTGGTCCCTTTCCTGGAAACAAGCTGCAAAAGTACTGGTTCAAGTTTTGCTTTTGTTTGAAGTTTTAATCTTGCAGATTTGTGAGAATGGTTCTTTTTTCCTTCATATTGATCATGTGTGTAGGCAAGTCATGGCCATTTACTGGAGACAGGCAAAAGCTGCTGTTCCCTTGAAGTAAATTTCCTACAGATAAGGCATTTATGAGCATTGAGAAAATCAGGGCATGAACTATAAATCACATGGAGTGTTAATTACACAGGAAGTCAATACCAGTCATTGGAGGAGGATCACATTCAAAATTTTAATAGCATTTCAATAACACCGTAGCTTTTCAGAGACCATGTGAAGATATGTTAGAATTGCCACATCCACACCTTCGAACACACAAAATGTGCACCCTAATCACTGCTTATAATATAATCAGTATGAGGATGAGATTGAGGGGTCTAAGTTAATCATCTTGTGTGTTATGTGAAAATATCCTTGAGTACAAAACATTTGTGTATTTCACAGATAACTCTTTTGTTGTGCCCCAACTCTACCAAGTTTATAGAAACCAGTCAGTCAACTGAAGGATTTTTCTGTTATGTGTAAATGTCTGAAAAGTAAGATAATCTTTATATTCCTGTAATGTCCATGAAGTATGAGGAAGGACCATTTCTCCTTGTTTGTGAGTGGCTTTACTAGTTGCGTTAGTTCCCTGTGCTTTGTGATGTACACCAGCAGAACCAGGTTTCTCAATGATGTCTCTCTCCTTTGCTGGCTCTTTCAGGGATGATGGAGAAAAGAAAATGGACCTTATAATCCCAAACTGCCTAGGTCTCCAAATAGGACAAATAAAGATACATATGACTTCTATTCTTGTTCTATGATAATTAGCTTTGCATATTGTGGTATGCCTTCTAAAAATCCACTATGTTGTGAGAAAAACAACTTTCTTACCATAATCCTGTAAAGATGACACCCTGTAAACCTTCTCACTCCCAGCCCAATTTTTGGGGTCTGTGTCGAAAAGGGGATTATCATTCACGTGGATGTTGGTATAGAGGAGTCCCTCAGAGTTTGGCCTCAAACAACTTCAATTTGTAGTAATACCCCCAATTTATGTATTCAGGATACCTTTATTAGCATTTAGTACCCCAATTTGATTTATACTTTATTGACTGAAGTCAGAGGCAGACCAATTTAGGAACAGATTCTGTTCTTTGGGTTTATGATATATTTGTCATTCACAGCTGCTACTGTGATCTCGTATCACTGGGTAGGGCCCTGAAATCACATCTCCTGGTAAAGAAAAAATTTTTTTTCTTTTTCCAGAAATTATTTTCCTCTTGACTAAAGTTTCTCCCTTAGGGAAGAAATTACTATTTAATTTTGCCTCCTACCCTTTCTTGTTACCTTCCAAAATCAAAACACTTTGAAAAAACGAAGATAGCTTTTCTGAACAGTCTATGTCCTGCCTGTCTTCTGTTGATTCACAGACTTAACATCAGGTATTCATCAGCTAGTCCCAATTTCCCGAACACATTCATCGTATCTATTCATTGTCACCATTATCTCCCTGCTTCAAAATGTGCAGGGTCTACTTGGTAATAACCTTGGGAAAGCTCCGGCTTATGAGTGACGTGGGCTTTTAGAGGGTCAGATCAATAAATTGGATTTTTCATTTTTTAGGGCAGCTACATTCAGTGTTTTTAATAAAGAATCTTAAATAAGAATGTTGACAGCACTCACAGTAAGCCATTGGCAGAAAACTGATCTGCATGTCATAGACCAGTGTTTAGAAACTATTGTCTGGCTTGGGGAGCCCAGCTGGTTATCAGTTCTTCCTTTAGCACTCATGAGAGAGATGCCAAGTTCAGGGTGAACATTTCTTGGTGCTTGAGGGAGAAATGGAGTCTGTGTGTTTTCCGGGGGTGTCCCAAAAGGCAGGGACCATTTTCATTTATTACGAACATAGATAACTTCCACCATTCAAGATGCTTATGTACAGGGATACTTGAGGAATTTACGTGTTGTGGAGAGAGGCCTGAAGGTGCCATGACCACCGCTTTCTCCCCTTTGTACCATCTACTGTCTCTGAAGGGTACTTCCCATGGTCTTTACACTTCCAGGTTTGAGAGCAGCTCATTTTTCCCTTGAGTCTACTCAGTCTCTCTGAAATTGTGCATTGTTCTATGTATGGCAGCATGTTGGCAATTTTAATCTTCAACTTCCTCTTTTTTGCAGAGAATGACATCCATTAGAATTGATCTAAGAACACTGACTAATAGGATTTATGCTTAAAATCCAAGGTATCGCTGCATATTGAAGGCTGGGATTTCAAGAGTCCTTGAACTCTGAGCTGAAACTTTTACAAATAGGGAGTTTGGCAGGGAAGATGCTTGGTTTTTAATTCAGAATCCTATTTATATACTGTTAAAATTTGAGGTACTGTAGTTTATATAAAAGTTGGATATTTAGATATTATATTTCAGTTCTAGGAGCTTCGCAGCCATTAACATGACAAATTAAGTAATATGAAAATGATTGTCAGTAAATTATCATATTGAGTTTTTTGTTTATTTTGTAGTGTTTCTGTATTTATCTGCACTTTGTGTGTATGTGTGTGTATATATATACACACACACACACATATATATGCCATCATGTAAATAACCTCATGTTATTCCTAATCTAAATTGCCACAGTATCTTTAATGTATGTTTACACTGTGTTTTAAATTACATTAAAAATAAACTATGTAAACACATTTTAATTTAGTCTTTGTACTTGAAGACCCACTGTGTTGGAGGACAAATGTCTTGGCTTCCTATAGAGAAAAACCGAGTTTTCTAGTACTGTGAGTGATCGTTTCGGGTGTGGCTAAGTAGAAAATCATAGCAGAATTTGGTGACCTTTTCCTGACAGATTTGGGAGTGATTATGTGAGTATTATGCAAGATTAGTAAAATGTTAATGTTGGTACCTATTAATAATGCAGGTATCTACAGAGGAGAGAGGTAAGTGGGCCATAAGCAAAATATCAAATATAGCAGGCACGCAGGCTTACCTGAAAATATATGTTTGTTATGAAAGAAGTATCAGCACGTAAATACCTCCTTAGATTTTTATTAGTTTTATGACCCTCTTGGTCACTATTTGACTTATAGGTAAAATTTTGCTTTTCTGTATCAAAGAATCCTGTATTTATTTTGTGTTGCAAAATGGATTATCAGAGTGCAGCAAATCACCTTTCCAAACTAAGCCTGACAGATTGACCATAGGGCATACACCCTGGTTTGCTCAAATAGATTATATTTGCCATCAGTGTCAGAGGAGAGGTGATAAATTCATGACACGGAGCTGTTAAGATAAAACAATGTTATTCCAGTATGTATTCCAGCAGGAAAGGACTGTTAGGGTAGGTATTAGAGATCATTCTGGATGGAGCTACTATTTAAGAATGTTGGGTTAGAAGGGATTGACCTGGAACCCCTTATAACTAATATTTTAGAAATAATAAAAACAAATTAGTTTCCAATGACCAAAGCTGGAATGATTTGAACAAATGAAATAATGGATGATTGGATTATAATCCAAAGTATAAAATGGGTGTCCATGAATCCACATTGACATAAATGACAATAAATTTTATTTTTGTAAAAAAATGGATGAGACATCTCTTTATTATTTTTTTTTTTATTTCAGCATATTATGGGGGTACAGATGTTCAGGTTACGTATGTTGCCCTTGCCCCCCGCCCCAACTCCGAGTTTCAAATATGTCCATCCTTCAGGTGGTGTGCATTGCACTCTTTGTGTATGCAAATACCCGTCCCCTTCTCCCCCCTCCCCCCTGCCCAACATCCAATAGATGTTATTCTTATATGTGCATTTATGTGTTGATCAGTTAATACCAATTTGACGGTGAGTACTTTTGGTGCTTGTCTTTCCATTCTTGGGATACCTCACTTAGAGACATCTCTTTAAATAAATATTCCAAGTAACAATAGAATTGTAGTTACTTTTCCCTCTAGGAGGTAGGATTTAAACCACTCCTGCTTTAGGGTGGACTAGACTTAGTAACTCACTTCCTAAAAGTGGAATATGGATGACTCTATAGGAAGGAAACCTGGCAGGCACTGTCTCAGCCAGGTGGTAAAAGTTAATGCCATCAGTGACACCATGTGGTTGACTTGTATCCCATGATGTGAAGAACACTTTACCTCCAAACTGTAACTCCAGGGTGATCGTGAAAAAAGCATCAGACACATCCAGATTGGGGACATTCTATAGGATGGTTGTGAGCCCAGTACTCCTCAAAACTGTTAAGTTCATAAAAAATAAGAAAATACTGAGAAACTGCCGCTGATCAGAGAAGACTCAGGGGACAGGACAACGAAATGCAACGTGGATCCCTAGGTTGCATCTGGGAACAGAAAGAAGACAATTAATGGAAAAATTCATGGTGCACAAATAAGGCCTAAAATTTAGTTAATAGTAAAAATAAAAATAACAGTACCCTAAAAATTGGCCACAAAATAGTGACATGAATTAGGGATACCTTATATTGTTTTTGGAATTTAAGTGACTGTTTATTCAAGACTTAAATATTTTGACTTGTTTGCCTATTAAATTGTGATCTCTGGGTGCAGGACATGTATCCTGAACATCACTCCTGTTCATCACTAGAACGGAGCTGGGTATACAGTAGGGTAAAGCCCCTTTCATTAAATGAATGACTTCATGAGCAAAGGAATAATCATTGTAAAAACCCTTTTAGAATTTGAAGAATGTGGTTGTGAGCTTGTGTTGTTTTTATGTCCGTGTCAATTCACCCTACAATAGTGGAATCATTCTTTAACATCCTGTGAATGCATGTATCTATCCTGGAGTTATTTATATATCGATGGGGCAAACATACCCCTCCTCCCTCCATGAACATTATGTCTTCTTACAAGCAGAAGTTAGACATAGATTTGCTCCTCTCACTGCTGGACCTGTAAACACTTGGTTGATTGAGCTGGATAATTTGGGGGTGATGTTGAACTCAATCTTCTAAATCATTAATTATGGAAAAGTCCAAATTTGGAAAATTAAACTTTGTTATACTTAACAGTTGAAATTACTGAGTCAAAGAAGTTATGCTATTAACATTCAGATTTTGCACAGCCAAAAATTAAGAAGACAAAATCTTTTCCAAGTTTCTACTATAACAGTTCTTGCTATTAAGGAAAAAAAAAAATAGTGTAGATGAGAACATTTGAAACCTCTTCAAATAGGATACCGTCGGGAATGCAAATCCTAAAAATACTGGTTGGCATGCTTGCGAGTGCTGTTTCTGAGTATTTGGGGTACATGAGCCAAGCATGGTATTCATCAGGACTCGTTGATAGAAATAAGTTATCCGGAATATTTTACCTCTCCTATTGCCAGGAGCTAGTGTGCTGAAAATAATTCCCTGAGTCAGCCTGGGCTAGAGAAAGGAAAATAACTATAGTATATATCTTTAATCCTCATCATGGGTTTTGAGATTCACCAAGTCGCCTATCTTCAGACAAACAGATTTTTCAAAGAATGACTCATAAGTTGCCTTAGCAATTGTCCAGTTTAAATGGCTTTCAAACATTTTTGGAGCAATTTGTTCTTCAAATTTTATTCGGGATCCAATATGTTTAAAATATGAGTCGAGCTGCTAGCATGTGCACCTACATGTGTGTTAAAGAATGCCTTCCCTTCTCTGATCCAAGTTCTTGGCCTCTGGTATCTCCATAGAACCTTTAGGGCTTTTCAGAGCAAGATTTGCAAATGACTTAGTCCAAACCTCTCGTGCTAATTAGGAAACTGAAGACCACATTAACACATTTTCAGCAGAATGCTGAATTCTTATCTCTCCACTGTGATCTGACCACCAATTCTGTGGATATGTGGGGAGGGCAATTTATCAAATGCTTTGATCTTTGAAAAGTCTAATTTTATCTGGAAAGGATGTCCTCTGATTAAAGAGTATCTTACCTGATGAATACACATGGAACAGGAAGGCAAAAGGTAAGTTAGACCCAGATCGCCTTGGCTGGTAGAAGAATAATTTTTGGTCGGTGTGTGTGAAAATTTCTGAAAATAGGTATAAAAGGTCACCAGTGCCTTGTACTTTGTAGGGGTTATTGGATAACTATTGTTATTATTAAAGACTTAGGGGTTTGAGTTTGCAACTTTGTGATGCAAATGCCAACAGAGCAGGTGAGACTTTAAGATCCGTTAAAAGAAGTTAAGTGACGGCTCCAGTGTATTCAATACGTAACCACTAAACTGGTGTCTCCCAGACTCTGTGTCACACAATTCACTGATCCAACTACAGGACACAGTCACCAGATGTCTCCTGAGATTCTGAAAGGTGAATTTATCTGACTTATCCAATGTCACATCATTGGTATGTGGCAGAGGTTGGACTCAAGCCCGGATATCCTGGCTTGAAACCCAGTACTCTTTCCTTCGAACTACGTCGTTACTACACTGAGTGGAGGATGGTAAGCTTTGGCTGCCACCAAACTTAAAGAGGTCTCCGGCAAACTCAGCCTTCTCTAGAAGAAAGATAAAGATGGTGAAGGGACTGGGAGCCTTACTGTGTGAAAAATATGTTAGACCAGAGCGTTGCTACTCAAAGTATGACCTTTAGACCACCTAAAAGCTGTTTAGAAATGTGAGATCTCAGACCTTCTGAATCAGAATCTTCATTTGATTTGTATGAACAGGTTTGAGAAGCACAGGTTTAGCAACACTACGAATGAATCCTTTGGGGATATATGAGGGCCATATAGTGATGTTTGAGGGTAAGAAAAGACCAGATTTATATTACTCTGAAAGTTAAAGACCCCTTGGAAGAAGTCATGACGATTGATATTTAGGTTCCAAAAAAAAAAAAAAAAATTTTGTCACAAAGTATTCCAAAAATGGAACTCAGGAAACAGCTTTCCATCATAGGGGGTGTTCCAGCGGGTCCGGATGACCACTTGTCAGGATTTCAGAGCGGAAACAGAAAAATTCAACAGGCATCTGGACAAGTGTCAAACAATTCTTGAGCAGGACCTTTACAAGCCATTGGAGATCCTAAGTAAATTAGATATATTCCCTCTTTTCAAGAGGTCCATGGTTTATTGGGATGACAAATAAAAATCAATGAAATGTAATACAACAGAATGCTAAAAAGATGTAAGTATTGGGCATTGTAGTGGCACCAGAAAGGGCAGTATTCTGCACCTCGGAGATGGCAGAAGTGATGGAAAAGAAGATAAATTGCATGCAGAGAAAGAAGTGTGAATGACTGTACCCGGGTGGATAATGTTATTAGCCAACATGAGCAGGACTCCCTGCAACAGGTGAGTTTCCACATTGGCAGGAGAAGAGGCTAACAGAGGAGTTGGGGAGGAGGAGGGAATAGAGTAGATGAAGGAAGGGTTGGGAGGAGCTGCATTCATTCTTTCATGTCTCCATTCTTTGAACTCACATAGTGCCAAGCACTGTTGTAGTTGCTCATGACTTTAAAAAGAATTAGACATGGCTTTTGTC